TAAGCTTTTAAGACCCCAGTCACTACTCACCAAAGTGGGATGTAGAACAGTATTTTTCTGTAGCATGTTATGCCAACTGAGCTTGATGTCTCTGTGACCATGGTCCCGAGCCCACATGTCCAACTACTCATTCCCTCAGGGTAGCTGGCTGTGGCCACAGAGCTAGCACAACCTTGTCCCTTGTCTGCTCTACTATAAACGTGGACATTCTTACAGCACCTACAAATACACACGTAGAAACATCATCTGCCAACCCTTTGTGTGGTCATGGTCATACTCCCCCCTGCCTAGACATACCTGATCATTCATCCTGTCCACCCATCTACTGACCTGTGCATCAATGGCTGTCATCACTGAAAACGCAGTACTGTACATCCAAAAGGGGTCATCTCTGTTTTCTGTGCCTCTCTATGTCATCCTCTTCTTCAGTGCCACTGTGTTGCTCATTCACTTTTGGAACAATGCCCTTCCCTTCACCCAAATCAGTACTTGTCTCTACCTATCTGGCAGTGTTCCCTACCCACCCCTTCCATCCCTGGTAACCAACAAAGAAAGTGTCCTTCCATATATAAACCTTTCCTTGACTTTTTACAATAATGAACTAATACTGTATTTGTCCTTCTGTGATTGGCTTATTTCACTCAGCATTATATCCTGAAGTTCATCCATGTTATACAGTGTTTTGTAGATTCTATGTTATTCTTCAGTGTTACACAGTATTCCATTGTGTGTATGTACCATAGTTTGGTTATCCATTCTTCTGTTGATGGGCACTTGAGTTGTTTGCATCTCTTTGACTTTGTAAATAGGCTGCAATAAACATCGGTGTGCATTCTTGTCCTGCCTCTCATTTCTTTAGGATATATACCTAGTAATGTGGGTTCCTGGATCAAATGGTATTTCTAACTTCTTAAGGAATCATGATACTGCTTTCCACAATATTTGTATCATTTTACAGTCACACCCGCAGTGTATGAGAGTCCCAATCTCTCCATATCCTCAACAGTATTTGTTATTTTTCTGTCTTGTTGAACTTTGCTATTAGTACTGAGGTGAGATGGCATCTCATTCTTGTTTTAATTTGCTTCTGTCTAACAGTTAATAAGGAACTCTGGTAGTGTAGTGCCTAAGGCACTTGACTGCCAACCAGAAGGTTGGTGGTTCAAATCCACCAGCCACTCCTCGGAAGGAAGATGGGGCAATCTACTTCCTTAGTGATATGCCTCGGAAACCCAAGGAGGGGTCGCTTTGAGATGGGTCCGACTCAATGACACATAACAACAACAACAACAATGGCTAATGATCACAAACATTTCTTCCTGTGTTTGCTGCTGCCTGAATATCTTCTTTGGTGAAGTGTCTATTAATGTCTTCTACCCACTTCTTAATTGGATGTTGTTAGGTGCCGTTGAGTCATTTCTGACTCATAGCAACCCTATGAACAGCAGAATGAAATACTGCCTGGTCCTGTGTCAGCTCCATGATCCTTGCTATACTTGAGCCCATCGCCGCAGCCACTGTGTCAATCCATCTCATTGAGGGCCTTCCCCTCCTTCATTGACTGCCCACCTTACCAAGCATGACATCCTTCTCCAAGAAATGGTCCCTTCTGACAACATGACCAAAGTAGGTGAGACAATCTGGCCATTCTTGCCTCCAAGGAGCATTCCAG